TGTATTTACTCAAAAGGTGGAATAAGTGGGGTACTTTGACTTTCTACATAGTTGTGGTTTTTTTTAACATGATACGAACTTCTCTGATGTAATGGAAGGAAAAACAAATGTTCTAAAGAGACAAACTCCTAGGAGTGAAAAATCGAAAAGAGAAAAATAAAAACAAAGCTCTAGAAATATTACAAATCTTTCAAACCCAAGGCCTTGGAAATATATATAAATAAGCACGGGTGATCCAAACAAAAATCTTCCATGACTTGCTATTTTGAAAAAAATCTATATACACTAGAGAGTGACAAAAATGGGGGTACTTATTATACTATACTCTTCTCCTGGTAAAATGATACCAAAGACATACTACAAGAGAACGAGATTGATGAGAGAAAGGGGTAAAGACATACTACAAGAGAACAAGATTGATGAGAGAAAAGACCCCTGTCCTGGGATTTCCATTAAATAATGAGCAACTACACACATCTAGTATAACCATCATGGGATGACCTAGTGGTCAATGAGAGCCAATGTAAATAGCAAAGAACTTAGAGGGAATGGGTTCAAACTATGGTGGCCATCTACCTAAGATTTAATATCGTACGAGTTTCCTTGTCAACCAAATGTAGTAGGGCCAAGCGGTTGGCCCGTGAATAGTCGAGGTGCGCGCAAGCTGGCCCAGACACACGTATATCAAAAAAAAAAAAACTACACATCTACTATAAAAGTACTGGTGTCACTCAGTGCATTTGTTTTACTACAACAGAGTCTACACCAAGAAGAGGCAATCTAAACTCTTTAAGGGCCCCAAGCTCACCCCTTTGCTTCTCTATCCCTTCGAATGCTCTCTATTCCTCTCAATCCTAATAAGTTGAAGCATACTGTACACCATTCTCTTCCAGCTAATTTCTAAGATTTCTTCATTCCAACTTCGGCTTGTTCATCAAGACCATTAGTTTCTTTCACCTGTCAAATAACATTGTGCTGTAGATCTTCAGCTTTTCTATTCAAAGGCCCCTAAAGCTCCTGGCCATCAACTTGTCCTCCTGAAAGCTGACTTTCTTGTGATCCCCAAACCCTTTGATGAAAAGAACATGGAAGAAATTCTCCTTGTTTCATGTGTACAAGAGATTATTGCAACCTTACGAGAAACACTTTCATTCATATATGAGACTAGAGATACAAAAGGGAGAACAAAAGGGTGAAAAACACTTTCATTGATATATGAGATTAGAGATACAAAAGGGAGAGCAAAAGGGTGAAAAACACTTTCATTGATATATGAGATTAGAGATACCAACTTCTTTCATAGATGGACTTCCTCTCGCAAAAACAGACTCTGCCATTGAAAATGGAGATGGTTGTCTCCTTACCAATCAGAAAGAGATTGAAACAGAGATTCTTGATTATTTTGAAAAGCTTTACACTGTTAGAGTTGAAGAGGGCTTGATTTTTTAGAATATTGAGTGGGCTCCTTTGAATGAGGCCTCCAAAGGTTAGACAGAAGCACCTTTTACAGTCGATGAAATTAACAAAGCAGTAAATGATCTCGGGTGTTTGAAATCGCCGGGGCCAAATGGGATGACCAATGATTTCTTTAAAAAGGCTTGGAACAACTTTAAATCGGATTTAGTTAACGTGTTCCAAGATTTTTTCGAGAAAGGTATCATCAACAAGTGCACAAACGAGACCTATATTTGCCTTATACCTAAGAAAACATCCCCAACGAGAGTTAAGGATTTTAGGCCTATAAGTCTTGTCTCCTCCTTATTAATATAAGATCATAGTGAAGGTGTTGTCTACAAGACTTAAGAAAGTCCTCCCCTCGATTATAAGTGATGCTAGTGGAAGGCCACCAAATCCTAGATGCAATTATTACAGCCAACGAAGCGGTGGGCAGCTGGAGAAAAGATAAGAAGAAAGATTTTCTACTGAAACTTGATTTTGAGAAAGCCCATGATAAGGTTGACTGGTCTTTCCTTGACGCGGTGTTGGAAAACAAAGGCTTCGGGAGTCGTTGTAGAATGTGGATAAAAGGCTGTATGTCCAAGACAAACTTCTCGCTCATAAACAGAAGGCCTCGAGGTAAGATTATAGCTCAGCATGGGCTTAGGCAGGGAGATCCTCTGTCTCCTTTTCTCTTTACATTAATCAGTGATGCTCTCAGCCGCTTAATCCATTTCTGTATGGAGAGGAACATTCTTAGAGGTTTCAACTTTGGTTGTAACGATGTGGAGTTGACTCACCTTCAATATGCAGATGACGTTCTAGTTTTTTGCCCTGATCACCTGAATATGTTGGGAAATTGGTGAAGGCTCCTAAGACTGTGGTTATGGCTCTGGAGAAATTATTGAGGGTTTCATCTGGAAAGGAGGTTCTGGCAAGAAAGGATGTCACCTTGTCAATTGGGAAACGACTTCTTTGCCATAGAAACAGGGAGGTCTCGGGATTGGCTCTCTTAAACAGAGGAATCAGTCCCTTCTTTACAAATGGCATTGGAGATTTGCTCACGAAGAGAATAGTTTGTGGAGGTGGGTCATTGGAGCCATTTATGGGGTTGAAGGTCATGGCTGGTTTACTAAGCCCACTTCTTTATCACCTAGAGGTCGCCCATGGGTTGATATAGCTAGAATCAGAGGTTTTTTGAAACTCATCATTTTCAAAGTTCCAAAAGGGGAGAAGGTGAGATTTCGGGAAGATCCTTGGGCTGACTCCTCCCCATTGTCAGTCACTTTCCTCGAGTTCTACAAGCTCTCGAGCAAGCAAGGGTGTTCAGTTGCAGAGTGTTGGGTTGCAGCTTCTTTAACTTGGGACTTGGGGTTGAGGTGGAACCTTTTTGATAGAGAACTCATAAGATGGGCTAGCTTTACAGAGAAGATTGAATTTTGGCAACCAGGTAATGGGAAAGACGTGGAAGGGGGATGGCAGTGGGGTGTTTTCGACGAAATCAGCTTTCATACTTCTTTCAAATCCCTCCCCTAAGATGGAAGGGTCTGTGGCTTCTTTTACTTGGACTTTCAAGGTCCCAAAGAAGGTGAAATTCTTTCTCTGGTCCCTTTTCTACAGAAGCTTAAACACTGCCGAGAGACTTCAGAGACGTTTTCCCTTTTGGTGTCTTTCTCCATCAGCATGTCAGCTTTGTTTGCGTGCAGCGGGGTCGACTGACCACCTTTTTCTCCATTGCCCTTTTGCTTCTATGGCCTGAATTGTGCGAGATCAGAATTTGGTATTATGTTCTGCATTCCTAGAAGGATCGATGATTTGTTTTTGGAAAATTTTGGGGGGGTCGGGGGGCGGGGGGGTTGCCCAAAGGCAGAGCTTTTGTGTTATGGAATTGTGTAGTGAGGGCGACCCTCTGGTTGATTTGGAAAAGCAGAAACAGCAGGATTTTTTAAGACAAACAGCCCTTCAGGAGGTTTTTAGAAGCAATGTACAGCACTATTCTTCGTGGTGGTCTTTAAACCACACCAATTCTTTTGTAATTATAGCCTACACATGTTAGTTAGAGATTGGAAGGCTGCCATTGTATAGTCTTTTTGGGGGAGGTTTTTTTCAACCATCTACCTTTAGGTGTCCTTTTTGGATAGATCAATGAATTCCTTGTTTCTTACCAAGAAAAAAAAAAAGAAATCCCTATCCACGGGAGTTACAAAAAACATCTCGATATCAAATCAGTAAAATATAATGCTGAAAAGGAGAAGATTTACACCATGAGGCAACCAAATAAACAATGGATTCAAAAACACGATTAAAGGGGGGCTCCTTTTCCATGGAAAATCATATGATTTCTCCCATCCAAATAGACCAAAAGCCCGCTCAAACAAAGTGCGTCCAAGGGAGCTTTTTCTCCTTTGTGAAAGGGTGGCCCGTGAGAAGGAATGTCAGAGCACTGTTTTCTTCAAAGGGCAGAGGAGTCTACCATCCAAAAGATGAGAGGATTTTGTTCCAAAATTTCGTAGAGTAGGAGCATCTTGTAAATAAGTGGCCTTGTAATTCTCCCTTTTCTTTACAGAGAATACACCAACGAGGAGAGATTTGAATATATGACACTCTCCTTTGCAATTTGTCTTGTGTATTTGTGGCATTTAAACTAACCTCCCAACGTAATAACTTAATCTTTTTAGGGTAGTGATCACTCCAAATAGACTTGTATAAGGGGGCTGCTTCATTCAGCAAGGCAGTAGAAAGATCACTGGTCAATGAGCTGGTTGTGAAGAGTCCCGAAGATTCCAAGTTCCATATAAAGATGTCTTTGTGAGCAGTGGGCTGTTTATTGTTCAAAAGTTGTAGGAGGGAAACAAATTCAGCGAATTCGGAATCTTCTCCAAAACATAAGATCCCAAGAAGTCCTCTGTTCATCCCACAATTTTTCTACTGAGATCGACTGATTATTGCAGCCTTAACACAGAAACAGCTGTACGAGGAAAGAACCTTGAATGGAGAAGAGGCAGCTTTATAGAGAGATAAAAGGAAGGGAAGGGAAAAAGAGAGAGCGAGAGGGAAAACAAAGGAAAGGAAAGTCTAATCTGGTGATACAAGGAATAAACAAATAAAGAGGAAATAAAGAATGAGTATTAAGTAACATGAATGTTTAAGGGGTGACAACAGCCTCATGCTTAAAACCTAAACGGGTCAAATTTAGAGGGGCTGGCTCCATCTAAAATTTTGGAGTCAACTATCATTGATTTGTCCTGAGATGGGGGTTTGGTAAATATTAATTTAGTGTTAGGGAATGTATTCTCCAATTCCTTCAACCTATTATCTATCTAATCTACCACAAACTGTGGCTAGACCGGGTGATCACCCAATCTTAACTCTTAATAGGATATTTCAAGAGATAATAATACATCATTGAAGCTGTTGGAGTCCTCTATTTTTGTGTACCATACGATGGTACATTTTTCATGAGCAATGCAATTGACACGGAAATACCCTTCCGGGCACCATGCATAGGCTGACTAGCTCTCCTTGCTCTTTCCAAAGTTCATATTTTTGTCAATATCAAGCAATTGGCATTAACGATTCTAGCTCATGTCAAAGAATCAAATGTTTAGTTTTTCTTCATTGGACCTTAGTTTCAGAAATTTTTCATTCATGAAATTATCGTCTTAGTTTCGTAGCCTTTTAAGAGTATGCCTCCTTATCTGAATGTTGCCTTCTGCCTTTTTTTTCTTCCCTTATTGAAAAGAAGTTATATTCAAGCAAATGCAAATTCCTTGTAAATTTTGGGCTGGTTAACTTTGGAGACTTTTGTTTTCTTACTGCTAATTTATTATTGCCATAAACTTTCAAGTCAACTAAGTTATGTATTGTGATTTTATGATCCATTGCCTCTTTGCAACCTATATTATTGTCTTGACACTAACTATTTTCCACTGGTATGAACGTACAGATTCCTCTTGTATTATATCCTATCTTATGCTCCAAATGTAAATCCCGCCTATGAATTTGCGGGATTTGCCCTTGTTTGTTTGCTTGTAGGCCTCATTGGCTTGGGTAAGTTTTATCTTCTAACGTAAAGTTTTGTCAAGTTTATACATTTTTGGTTTCTCTTCCAATCTCATTTTTGTTTTTCAATGGCAGGAAGACTATACCTGGGCATGCATAGCCCAATTGACGTCATTTGTGGTCTTGTTTTGGGCTTGATGATTCTCTTATTTTGGTTGAATGTCCATGAATACGTGGACAGCTTCATTACCACTGGCCAAAACGGTATCCTCTCTTGTTCATACTTCAGCTTTTTCTTTTTCAGGTTAAGCTTAGTTTCTACTATGAAGTAAGTAGTGTTTTAAGGAGCAGACAAGTTTTACAAAGGGAGCTACAATTATCATGAATTGAGAAAGGCCGTAGTTACAAAAGGAACTGAAAGTTATACACCACAAAGAACGCAAAAATCTAACAGTGTCTCAAAGGTCATTCCAATCTTTGGTGACATAATCAATGAAGTTGGTGTATATTCGGGATCGAAGTTGGACAATGCTCCTTGACCTTATAATCTAATAATCTATCCTAGTAATGTGTCCTCAAGTGACTGTGAACCAATAATTATTAGGCATAATCTGAAATCCCTTTTTACGGTCTCCAGTCCAGGGGGGGATGGTAAGATAGTACTGAAAAACAAGCTCTAACCTATTTTAGTTGGAAGAATTTGGAATCCGAAATGCTGGACTTTTCATGAGGTAGTGAAACTTGAGATTTTTGCTCAAAAAAACAGAGCTGGGTGGATCTTGACTATTGCATACTGAAAAATTGTTGACATTTAAGGGGCATTTGGAGCATGGGTTCAGTATCTTAAGCTTGAAAATGGTAGAAGTTTGGGGTCTAAGTGGATGATTAGAAGGCTTTTATTTAAATCATCATGAGTGGTTCATTGGTCTAAAGGGACTAGGGTTAATTAAGAGGGAATGAGTTTAAACCCCATGATGACCACCTAGTCCCGTGAGATTAGTCGAGGTGTGCGTAAGCTAGCCTAGACATCATGGATATAAAAAAATAAAATAAAAAATAAAAATACTAAAAGGCTTTGATTTAGGAAATATATATGTTAGAGTGCATGTTTAGAAAGCGTGAGTTTAGAAAAACTGTGCGAGAGAGTGGATTTCGGTGGGGAGTAGGTTTGAGGTACCGTTGTGACAACCTTCAGATTGGCAAACTCGTGGACAAATATGGGTTCAATGTCTTAAACCAAACACACCTAAATTTGAATTCTCACTCCAAACACCCGTTACAGTTTAGTGTCTGTCGGGATTCATTACCATTTCAACATAATGGTCATTCTGCTAGTGCTTCACTAATCCATTTGTTGCATGCCATTTCTGAGTGCAGTTACATATTTCTGGGGTGCCCTAAGCATTCTGTTACTCTTTGCTTATCCTACTCCTGAGTTTGCTACTCCAAGCTTTGAATACCACACAGCTTTCGATGGCGTTGCACTTGGAATTGTAAGCAACCTTTGCTTTTCAAAATGGATGTAAATCTGTTCTTATTGGTGTCATTTTAAAGGAACATATTGTCAAAACTCCTTGTCTTGTCTAATTTTGCTTACCTCTTGTAGTCATGCTTTATTTTGTTACTCAAATATATAAGGTTCTGCCGTCCAGGTAGCAGGAGTACAGCAAACATACCATCAGTTTCACCACGAAGACGTTGCACGTATATTTACTGCACAACTCCCCTTTCCCACGTTTCTTGGGCGGATGCTCGTCGGTTTACCTACTATATTAACCGTGAAGTTCTGTAGCAAAGCTCTTGCTAAATGGATCCTCCCCATTGTTTCAAACACCTTGGGCATGCCCATTAGATCAACCAGCTATATTCCACTGTTAAATTCATCTTCAACAGGTAAGGTGGATGGGACCAAACAACATGGTCATCTCTATAAGCTGTTCTTCTTCCCAAGCCAGGGCTCGTTTGACATCGACACGGGCATTAGGTTCCTTCAATATGCAGGCCTTGCGTGGTCTGTGGTTGATCTTGTTCCCTCAATTTTCTCTTATCTGAACTTGTGATATGTTAACCCAAAGACAGATCGGTTCAATTTTTACCTAATTGAATCCTGAGTTCTCTCCATATATTTCATTGTACTTAGCAAATGTGGTTCAAGAGCTCATGAAATTATTCTGTAAAATGAGATGTGGTAGTTTTGTTCAGCGACTATATATGAGAAATATAGCTTTGAAAAACCAATGTTTTCCCCCAAGTCAATTTTAACCACTTCTAATTAAACTGAATGTTTAATTTTTAATAAAAAAAATAAACTTGCATAAATGTTCCAATTAACACTTGCTGAAAACTAGATAGAAGATTGTCCATGATCCAACTAAAAAATCAATCCAACAAAACACTTACAATCATGTCATAAGAAATATCCAAACTCAACCATGAAAATATAACCAAAAAGTCAAAAAATTGCACAAACTTAGGAATACTCAAATCCAACTAATTCAAGGCACATGATTAAACAACTAATACCTGAAAGAATCGTGGATCTTTTAGAAAGAAAAAAGAGTAATTTCACCACTTATTCAAATATTCCATGGAACAAAATCCCCATTGATAGCTTGACCTTATGGAATTGAAGCCCATTTGGTTTCCTTGATTCAAACTTCTCAAGCATATGGTCAAAATTATACTTCATACTAAATTTTTTGAAACAAAAAGTAACAATTCCAATAGTTTTAACAGCCTTTTTCAAACATAACAAGAACTAATATACCAACTAGCTTACACCTAGTAGAGGAAAAACACCAGCACTATAATAATTTACTACAATATCAAAGTGTTGTACCAAAACAAAACTACTTGAGAGGATATTATAGGGTGGGAAGAAAAGGACCGAGAGGGCAAAAGAAAGTTGAATATCTTTGTGTCTCGAGGATGTCTTGATCTTCAAATACAAATCAGAGATTTTTCTATGTAAAGAGTCTTGGCTCGCAGGCAAAGCCACCAATGCATGGCAATGGCAGCATAAGTTCACAGGTTCTCTGCCTACATTGATGCACAACCCGTTATGGTATACAGGGGAAGGATTCGACTTAGCTGCCTTATAAGAAGTAATCCGGCGTTCTCCGAGTGACATCGGGTTCTCCTCTTCTGGGTGCTGGCTCAAACTGATAGAGACAAACATGAAGTTCAAGAACCATGCAGAGAATGAGACTAATCATTCAGCTATGGATAATTATAACATTGCAGGAATAAAGCAAAGATGCGTATTGTTTGTGCATAATCATCATTGTGAATGATTATGCATTGTGCAAGTGCTTGTGCCGTGGTGCAAGACGTTGTGCAAAGAGTGAGAAAGAGACCTGAATAAATGTATGACTCCTGCAGTCATCGACCTCTAGAATTGAGGCCATGTTCCCACAGCGATAACAATAGTTAGGTGCACTAAATATAGTAACCACCTTTTGTTCCTGTACAAAGAAAAGGAACTTCATACCAGAAACCTTTAAATAAAACAAGAAGAATACAATAAGAGATTTATATGGCAAATTTTCAAGGGGAGAAATTATCAAACAAACGTATTACATGAGCCCAATTAAATCCATCCATGACCAGTTGATGAGCTCTAGCTATCAACTTCAAATTATTCATGTGATTGAATTGTTCAGAAATATCCTGCAAAGTAGGGTATTAAACATGAGAATGAGAACCCCTTAATTTTCCTTATCTTTGCATAAGGGCAAGTATGAAATAACAAAGGCCTTGATGCACAGTTACGAATTACCTGACCAAATGTATAGCCAGCACCCCGAGGTGAAATCCCCCAGCCGCACCGATCATCTGGATCAGACCATAATAAGTCACACATTGGGCCTTCATGAGGAACCTCTTGAACACGGTCAAAGTTTCGAATGTTATCAAGGGTTTCGATGGATGGGGACAACCCACCATGGAGGCAAAATATCTCAGACTCAACCTGAAAAGAAATATAAGAGCCAACGGATAAACCAATTGCATCAATAAGATGGCTCCTTGATAACAATTTTGTTCAACTTCATGGTTTTAAGACTTATGTTAGTGTACTAATAAATTTTTTGTTTTCTAATCAATTCCTTAAAGCGTATTTACTATCTTAGCGAAACTAAAAAAATTGCTTTTAAATTTTGGTTTTTGTTTTCTGACTACTAAGTCTAATATTGCAGAAGTATTTTCAAAGACATAGCAATTTTTTTCTTTTTATGAAAAACCAAGTTCCAGTTGGAAAAATGAAATAATAGAGTAGTACAAAAAGAATCAACCCACCACAAACGAAAGAAAAAAAGATTACTGCAGTTGAGAATGAGATGCGGACGCCCAAAAGGAAAGCATTGAACTATAGTCCACACCTCCCCGAAGACTCAACTCCTCAAAAGAATCTCCTATTCCTCCCAAAGCTAAATGTTTCACTAAGATAGCAAGAGAAGCTACCCTCAGAGCACTTCTCCCTCATCCCTAAAAGATGGAAACACCACTTCCTCACACAACCTCGAGAAACAAGATCTATAACAAGCGAAAAGCAAATTGAATATTTTCCTATATATATATTATATATATATATCCCAAAATCAAAGCCACAGCACATGATCCAAAGGGCCTAAATTGTAAAATTATTTTATTACACGTCATCCTTCAATCACATTAAATATACAATGTAAGAGATGCACTCAAGGAGCAGGGTATGAGGTATCAAGAAGATATGTTGTGCAATACGAGCAATAATTGACAAGGAAAAAAAAATCACTAACCAAGGCAGTCAAAGGAAAATAGTCAAAAAGATCTGTAAAAGTCTTCCATACATTAGCACTGCCATACCTGCAAGTACAGAAGAAAAAGGATCTCACTCCCATATATTTTTGCAAGAGAATCAAGAACAATTGACCTTCCGAAAAACAAATTTAGACGACTTCAAAGGTAATCACAGGTTGAATTTAACCTCTACCAACAAATTATGTCACAAAAAAATATTTAGCAGCAGATAGAAGAAAAAAAGGTAATATAATTTTTTTTTTTTGTATTCGTGAGTGTCCATGCCAACTTACGTGCACCTCGACTAATTTCACGGGGCAACCGACCCTACAATATTTGGTGTCAAGAAACTCGTAGGAATTACTAATTCTAAGGTAGGTGGCCATCATAGGGTTTGAACACATTCTCTCTTAATTAACCCTAGTCCCTTTGGACTAATGAACCACCCATGATGGTTAAAAGATAATATAATATTACCAACCATCTTGTGATCATTACAGACTGACAGGAATGTATTCTCACCAAAAGCACAGTCCCTACCCCTTTCTATAGTAAAAATGAGCAAGGTCATATCCATGAAGCTAGGACCAGCATTTGTGACTTATTTGACCATCGGTTGAGTAGTTAGTCAAAATCCAATGGTCCCTTAGAATTAAACCTACTCCCCCTCCAGATTCCAGCTAGTCGTGCAACTCTACCCAATGGATGTGGAAGTTCTAATCAAATTCCTTATTTATTAACAGATTTTTCTTTTATAAGAAACCACCCCAAAGTTGACTTTTAACAAACAGAACTATGGCCTCAATTATATGTTTTTCTTTTAGTAAAAAAAATAGCTTTCATGAAATGAATGAAAGTGGGGTGGAAAGACCTAATTAACAAGGGGACTACAAAAGAAGTATAACAAGAGAATTAAAGAAAAGAGCCCCATTTTTGGTAATCAAAAAAGGAATATAATTACCAATAAAAAAAATATTAGGAAAATGAACTCATAGTGCCCAGCCAACTATGACATAAATGAATTTAGTAGATCCATAAACACTGGTTTTGACTACCCATAATCTCAAATTAATTTTTTGGTATGGGTACTAAATTTTGATTCCAAGTATTTCCTGTTTATATTTTTCACTATGAGAAATAGAAATACAGAATATTATTCTAGGAAAACATCATTCCCTATGAATTCGTTTCCTACTGATCATGCCTCAAGCTTGACAAAAAAGTTCGTGTGTGTGGTTGTTGACCGGTACTCAAACTTTGACAGAAGTCTCTGATTTTGAATGGTAGGTGGCGTCCAGTTCTCCACTTACCTATTCTGAGCATAACTGCCACTGGTAAGGCCCAGAGGAAGAGAAAACTTAGATGTCCTACATTCTACGATCTCCAAATGTAATTGTAGACATTACCTAAATAATCGGGATTTAGCCTGCCTGAGAATTTCCTGGAAACTTAACCAGGTTCATAATCCTCAATGGTCTCTAATCAACAAGTCCAAGCCTTCTATGGATGGTATGAACAGTGAAAAAGGCAGCTGCCTTTTTTATTCTAATCACCAAATTATTAATCTCTGAGAACTTTGCTGAGAAATTATTCTTCTCAACTTGGAGGCAAGCATTCAACTATTTAGTTACCATAGCCTTTTTTATTCTCATCACCAAATTAATAATCTCTGTGTACGTTGCTGAGAAAATTTTCTTCTCGACTTGGAGGCAAGCATTCAATTATTTAGTTACCATAAAATTTGGCTGAAAGTTTTCAACCAAATGCCTATACACAGAACTCTCATTTGTTAATTAACAGTTGATGGTTTAAGAGAATCTGGGCATTACAAATAAGTTTTCTTTCAATTGTTCATAAGATAATTAAAAATATATATTAATGTCTTATTGCCGGGTTATAGTTGAGTTCCTCCTTGGCTTTGAGTAAAATACTTGAAAAAAACTGGGAAGACTAGTTTTTTTTAATTAATTCTTTAGTTTCTTTTTCACACACACACAAAAAAGGGAAGGAAAAACAACTTTTATTTTTCAAATTAACTTAAGTAAACACAATCCATTTTTCACGCAACAATAAGCTTTTTCAAGACGTTTGAATCTAAAATTCAGTTTCAAAAATTATAAACCAATTTCTTTCATATATGATGAAACAAAACAAAACAAAACAAAAATATTTGTTAATTAAAAAAAATAAAAAGAAGCATGAGATACAATCATGTTTCTATTATTCCCTTTCTCAAAGAAGTTTGTTTACAAATTGTGAACCAAATAGAGATTTGGAGATTTATCCAAAGGTGTTTCACCTTTGACATCAATAGAATTATCTAAAGTCATGTTTACTGGAAGGGAATGAAAATGAGAGAATGAAAATCATTTTACTTTTTGGAGTTAGTTATTAATCAGATTCCCACAAATAATTTCATTATCTCTACCTAGTTATTGTAAAAGATAACAAGATTCGTCGAACTAAAACATCGATCATTTAATACACTGCATCTATGTTTGCAATTGGTAATTGGATTTTATAAGAAATTAGAAGTTTCTCCAAAGCTCATAATATGTAGGCATGCAGCATGAGAACGGAACATCAATGGATAAGCTAGTCCTACAATATCATAGGTCATACACATTATCCCCCAAGAGAGAGAGAGAGAGAGAGAGGAAGGTATAGTGTGGGTATAGAAAACTCACTTCCTTAAACATTCATCATAAAAGCCATAAACCTGAGTGATCTGAGAATCAAAAAGGAGAGAACATGAAATGATGCAAGTCAATTCCAGTATTCAACTTCAACATTATCTCTGAACATGTCTAATTAAATGAAATAAATCCCCAAAAACAAGACACAATGAAGTGCAAATAAAATACAATTACGCACACGTGTACTGGAAAAAAATTCCACTATTCATTCTACAATGTAGTAGACAAATGGTAGAAAACTTCAAAGCAGAAAGCAGCTAGATTTTTTTTTTTTTTTTGCACCCTCTCTCCCTCCCTCCAATCCCAATCCCAACTTTCTGGATCAAGCATCAATAAAAAATCACAGGATTGGCATTTGAAAAAAGAAGCAAAATTGCGTGCATCATTTTTTGAAACATATCCACATGTCCTGACCAAAACATAGAGTGTAAAATCGTACCTGACGACTTTCGTGATTTCCTCGAAGAATGGTAATCCGGTGAGGATAACGAACCTTTAGAGCCACTAATAACTGGATGATTATGGTAGACAACCATATATATTAGCTCAAATATCATCCAGCGAAAACCTACAAGTCTTACATTATACGTGATTTTTCTTATTAAAAAAAACTATTACATAAGTTATGATGGGTATGGGATATATGGATGCCTTGATAGAATGAAGAAGAGGAAAACTAAATAAGTTGGTGTTATGTGCATACCGTGACAGTTTCAACAGAATAATATCCCCGGTCCACATAATCTCCCATAAACAGATAATTGGTGTCTGGACACTGCAAAATATTATGTAATAGATTCAGACCTGATCCAGAGGATGCTCAAAAGAAAACCAATGAACAAATATTATTTTAATTTATAAGTAGAAAGCATTTTGAACAGCAATCTTCTCTCTCTATCACTTTGTTCCCTTATTTTCACAAAAAAAAGGACCCATAATTAATTCAAGATTTAAATTAGTCCCTAAACGTTCCTATGCATTTCATTTCCATCTCTTAACTTCTAAATATTCTATTTCAGTCCCTCAACTTCCAAATGCCTTTATTTTAATCCCTAGCATAGGAAACCTCTTAAAGTTAAAAGATGATTACGTCAAGTAATCATCCTAAGAAGGGTACGTTTGGCCAAAGTTGGTCAAACACTCCATTGGAACTCAAATTCAAAAAAATGTATGAGACGCATGAAGGGAAGTTTTAGGTCTTCTACAAATTGGCTACTTTTTCTAATTGTTGTTCTAACTTCCCTTAAAATATCTCTTCATAATAGATAAATGGTTGGGACAACTGACAACAAACATCCATCTCGTTCAATTGTATTTTGGATGGTTCCGCTTTTATTAAAAAAATACCAACTTAGTTTTCTTTATTAATCCCCATCAGCACTCAGGTTGAAAATATATCTTAGATTCTTAACTTATCTCCCTTTGTACAAGCTCCATTAATAAATAGCTACTGTTGTTCTTATCTTATCTTTTCTTTTCATAACGATTCCCCCTATTATTTATTTAAACATAGAAAAAAAACAACATAGTTTTCTTATTTAATCTCCCTTGGCTCTCAGGTTGAAAATAAATCTTATCTTCTCTCCATTTTGTACATGCTCCATTAATAAAAGGTTAAGTTTCAGTGCGGCAAAATGGTTCTTCCTTTCTTGCAAACAAAATATATGAATACTAAAATAGCATAACTTATACCTTCCCTCCGATTTGGAAAAGTTCTGCAAGATCATGAAATTGCCCATGAATATCTCCGCATATTGTTACTGGGCTCTTCACAGGCTGAGTGAGGAGAAAAAAAGATTCCATATGTCAAAGAAGGCACAAAAAAGACGGATACAGTAATCGTGATAACTAAATAATCATGTGCTATTCCAGAATTTAAAATGAAAGACAAGATGCTAGTATCCTCATTTAAACTCAACTCCAATTCATTTTCTCAGATAAGAAAAAGTTGCATTAATAATAAAAATTACAAAAGGGAGAACGGACTATGTGTTCTCCATCTCCCTAGCCAAATGGCCACAATGATTTGAAGTTTGAACCATACAAAAATTTGGTTTCTCAAAGAAAAAATAAAAATAAAAATGGAGACCGGTTGCCCAAAATAACCTGCCCCAAATGAATTGGTTACAAGTTTACATTCAAACTTCTTGCAATGTTCAGAAAGAATGATGCAATCCTTACAATAAAGCATGCATGAGATAATTGCAATAATACAGAGTTAGTGTACATGATACGGTCCACTGTTCCAGAATGAAGACAGAACTTGTAAGTTGTAGACATGGAGGACCTCTAGTTTCAAGGTGTATATGTTTCCACCAGTAAGAGGGCTCCAATCAAGAGATCTTTCTAAAAAGTAATATCAAAGATGGATCAAATAATATAAAGGTTTGAATTGAAGGCACAAATATAATACCTGTACGTTGCTCTCTTCCATTAGAACCTCTTTGGCTTTCTCACATAATGCCCTAACCTACATAAACAAATAAATCATGTTATATTTACCTCCAAAGGATAACCACAAATGTTTCATATGGTCAAATTAACCTGACTTAGGCATGGAACAAGGTAAAAAAAACATGCTAAAGTCAGTCAAAAGCTCATGGGTCCAACAGAAGGACCATGAATTCTGATAACCTCGCCTCCCTGTAGCTCCCTTCATAACCAATCTTACAATTATACCCGTGTTGTTATTCTTGCCAATTCTCTGCAGTCTCCTTGGGTTTCTTGAGGATTTCATATGAGAAATTAATAAAAAAAATAAATGGACAATACTGATATCTGGAGGGGAACATAAACACGGTAGAAACTCGTTTCTAAAATAAAAATGAAAGATAACACCTTTAAATCTACAGAGTCCAGACCCACTAGTTGAAAGGGGCATATTACCAATATATACATATATATAATACTGCTTCAAAAGCAGCAGAATCTCCATGCAATCCGAGCACGAACTCTATTTTCATTTCAACAACACGCCAACGGTAATGTAGAAAATTTTGAAAGATGACACCTACCAGCAACCCACGGTAATGGTATCCACTCCCACCATAAAGCCTAAATCTAGTGCTCTTTTCCAGTCAACCAGAAAACAGTAAACAAAAAATTCTCACGCAATCAAATAGCTGTCTCCTAATTTCCCTCCTTCCATCCACAAGATTCAATTACCATCTTCACTCATCAGAGAACCCGCAAAGGCCCCGAATCCCACAAGCAAGATCTCCCGGGTATCTCAACCCAACAAATCGCAATTAGAAAACAAACAAAAAGAGGGAGAGACAGAGACAAACCAACAGTACCCCATCCTCCACAAATTCTTCTAGGTCAAGAAAACCCACCCCATTTCCCGAAAAAACAAGAACCATCGAATCGAACCCAGAAATCAAAACGAAAAGATCAATCGAGAGACGAAACCTGTTGCTCGGAGAGCGGCTTGCACTGCATGAGCTGCGAGATCTGCTCATCGAGGCTGCTGCTGGCGTCGGAGGACATCGAATCCGTGCCCATAGCCGCACCGGATCGAGGCGAAGAAGATGAAAGAGGGCGTGGCCGGAGCGTGAGACTCCACTGCTGCGCCGGGCAGTGGACAGAGGGAGGAAGAAGAGAAGAGAGGGAAAAGGGAGGTGCGCGTGAGAACTGAAAAGGAAGAGCGAGTGGCGATTTCAGGTTGAATTATAGAAAACCGGCAATGCCAATGGGTGGAGGGAAATAAATTATTATCAAAATTAAAAATATATATAATTAATAATTTATTCAAATTAAAAATTAAAGAAAAAAGGTTATGGATTGCATTCTGCTACGAAAACTTCCACGGGAGCTCACATGCTCTGGACCAACCACAGCGCGCCACGTCAAATAAAATATCTTCGGATCTTCATTGAATTAATATGAAAGAAAAAGTTCCTCTTGATGCTTTCTAAAATACTTGTAATCCTATATTGGTCACATAGATTTTACCAATATTATATTACCAATATTATATTAGTAACATCAACTTCGAGAGGGATGTGATAAAGATTAGAAATTAAATTCACTATATAGACATAAGACAACATAAAAGTTTAATTTCGCGAAATATAATTTCTCAAAAAATCTCGTGTGAACCATCATTTAAAACTTTATATTCAACAAGTAATGAGTAATTACTACAAAAATACTTACATAAGAAGTGGTTTTATTCAAAAAAAAAAAAGAAAAAAAAGGGGACAAAAGTCATACAAAACACATTATCTTCTAATTGAAAAAATAAAAATAAAAAAGGACAAATATATCAAGTGACCCTAACTTTTTAAGGTTCTTAATTAAGTATTTGTGTTAAAAATGGTTAAGTTTTGTTTTTCAAAAATTGGTATATCGTTAAATTATTATTTTATTAACATATTTAAACATACTTTTTTTGTATTGTCAGTTTTCTGCAAAGACATAAAAACATAGATGTCTAAGCAGCTATGATAACAAAACAATAAAATTGTCACATCAACTTTCTAATAACCATTTTTAATTGAATGACTTAATTGATTAAATTTGATTTTAAATAGTAAGAGCCAAAAATATGAAAGAGCATTCGATATATATATATATCATGAATAATACTCTTTAAATGATGGTACTACTCAAAATAATTTGAAATTTTTTATATTTGTCGGTAAAACCGTTTGTATAAAATATGGTTGTATTGAAATATAAAGATTAAATATGTGTTTTAGTTACGAAGATGTTTTCACAATTCTAAAAAAATAATTTCAGCTTAGTCCTTGTATTTTAATATTTTCTATTATAATGTTTTCATGGACATGTTAATTAAATAACTACGTTTTTCTGATTACAAGTGAAATATTTATTTAATAGACAATTTCAACATTATTCTCTCTCCAATAAAATAATACTGAGATGATAATAAGTACCTTTATTTACTGAGCTATATCCGAACTAACCCATTGAAATCGTCTAATCTTAGCACGATTTATAAAAACTACCATACTCCCGACAAATATTTTACAAACTACCATACATGTCTATTTAATTGGAAAAAAAACAACTAACAATGTATTTTATACAAGAATCCAAATTAGTTTGAAATTAATTAAGCATACAAAATAAAATCCACAAATGTTATAATTAGTAGCCAATAAAACATGTCTAAGTTAGGAAGCTTGTTCGTCTTCTTCCCGAGTCTATTCATTTCTATCTCGTACGGTCACATTGTCACTTTTGTCTTGTCTACTAAAAGATAAGTTTGAGACGATTTTTGAAAAGAAGATTTTAAGTTAAACCGTTTCTATTAGGAGTAGTTTCAAATATTTGTGAACTAAGTATTTTCCCTATAGGTATTTTAAGTGTTATTTTAAATATTTTTAGAATTTTAAAAATCACTTTTGATTATGTGAAGAGTTTTAATATTTTGAAAAGTAATTTTAGTGAGAAAAAATTTTCCCCTTTCTAAAAAGTTATCTCAAACTCACCCTAAATCAATCCGGTAAATAATATTTTTGGAGTAGTACATCCCAAAAGCAAACCTATAATATTTGCTTTTGCTATGATTCGAAATAAAAGTCACTAGAGATTCAGAAACGGCAACAAAATTATTCACAGGTAATTAACATTTTATGTAAACTTTCAATTGCTCAATGTTGTTTTAAGAGCAAATTTGTGTAGTAACCATGAAAACAAAGGACGAGGCAGGGGTTTTCGAGTCTTGTGTTGACAAAGATCAAGATCCTCAAGAAAGTATTCGTTCACGAATCTCAGTTTTTTATGTGATTGCAATAAGCTTGCTTTTTTTTTTTGCGTCAAGATTGGAGGCCAATGGACTGTCCTGTTTGGATTAATTTTCTAGATGATTTTAGAGAGCTAAGAGTGTTCTTTAAAAATAAATAAATTGGTCAATAACAAATAAAAATCACTTTTGAGATAATTAAATTGGTTTATAATATTTTTTTTATAAAGAATCAATAGATGATTATCCAAAAAGTGATTAACTAAAATCACTCTAAGAAAGTGTAACCAAATCCTCAAGTATTTAACTTAAGTTATTTATATAAAAAGTGTTTAAAAAGATTAGTTTAAAAACTATTTAAATGAGAAGGTGGGTGGAATTCACGGTAAATTTATTTGATTTTTGTTCGAATCTGTCACATAGATGGAATTTTCATCTCAGGGATAAATTCAAAAAACAATTAAAAATTTAGGAACCAATTAAACATAAGAATCGACATTGGATGAAAAAATATTATGGGACAAATAATAATAATAATTAAAATGGTCGAAAAATAAATATTTCAAAAATTAAGAGACTAATTTAGGGGATTAGAATGAATATTTTAAAAATTCACAATACCAATTAATTTGATGACCACCTACCTTAGGAATTAATTATTATGTATTTTTCGACACCAAATATTGTAGAGTAAGATAGTCCGTGAGATTAGTAGCAAAACCTCACAAGAAGATTTTGTTGCAGCCCATGTAAAAGTTGGTATCTTTTCATCCTTTTTTTTTCCCCTGTTACTTCAATTTCTATTGCCGCAATAAGAAGCATTATATTTTAAAAGAACATGTGTTTCTTCAGGTCTCTTGAGCCAAAACTTGAAACTTATTAATGAAGTGAAGAGAATGTTGAACCAATTAACATTGCTTCAAACCTTCCCGCAGCCTTACTTGTGTAGAAATTATAATTGATAGTACTGATAACAAAGCAGAAATAAAGGTCACAACACTTATAACTCTGGAATCCGATCGTTTACCTGCAGGTATCGACCATGTAAGGTCAGCCTCGGTGCCATCGGTCTGAAACTTAAATAAACAGCTCCGATTATGTGATCTTTCCTGGATGCTACACTGCAAAAACAAGTCTGGTGCCTTCAATCTAACTTGCACATAACCGCTTTCATCCAATGGCTGCAAACAAGAAGGAAATTTATTAGAAACTATCTAAGAAGCACAGACACACAACGTAATTTCATAGAGTCGTTCGGTTTGAATGCTACATGAAGAACATAAGCCAGATGAAGGAACGGGAAGACCTAGGATGTAGAAGATCATAACATGAGTGATTCGGTAGATTTGGATTCCTATATATCCACTCATGTGGTACTTTATTGTACGATATATACAAGATCCATATGTATAGATATCATCATCTACATCCAGAAAGCCGTATGCTTTGGAAGAAGCTTGTACAGTTTGGGGAGGGGTTTTGATTGATCAAAAAGAAGAATCTACTTCAACCGATATGCCCTTAGGCACGGCCATACATAACATAGAAATCACACTTGGGAAGGGGGGACAATTAGCTCAAAACACTAACACGACACGGTGACATGTTAATCTTTAAAGATTTAGGATACAAATATGGCAAGGACATATTTATTAAAAGAACATATTATTTTTATACAGTTCAATGATTCTCATACTACAAAATTGTATAAATTTATGATGATTATACATTTATGATCCAATGTTTGATATCAAACTTCTCAAGATAAACTCAAACCAAGTGATCGATTTTCTGAATGATTAAACATCTTTGTAAAAAGAAAATTTAAAAGTCAATAATGCTAATGCATTCACCAACATGAGCTTAGCTCAGTGGTATTTGGCACTTCTAACCAAAAGATCTGGAGTTCGAATCCCCACACCCCTATTTGTTGTACTAAAAAATAAAAAAAAAAATAAAAAAATAATGCTAATGCTAATGCATTCCTATCAAAAGAAAAAAAATGCTAATGCATCGGTATGTGTTTCACTCTCAAAATGTTCATGAGTGTATAATACTTGTGATGTAGTTAGCAGTTCTGTTTTAGTTATCTTTAGTTGGGTTGGTTAGTTGGTTAGTTGTTTAGTTAGGTTGGTTATAGTTAGAGCCTTCCTAGCTTCCTTGCTTATAAATAGCAAGCCTTTTCTTTATAAAGGATTATCTTATCATTCTTAATAAAATTCTCTCTTTGGGGTTACACCAAATTGGTATCAGAGCATCAAGAATCTTGGGCTCCTTTTGGATATGGCCGGCAAGAAAGTTATTCCAGCTGAAGGAGATTCTTTTCTTGCCGATAAAGTGGCGGAAAATGCAACCGTACTCTCTCCACGATCATCGACCAATCGTTTACTGATGGTTGAAGGTGCTGTAGCGAATTTGCAGCGGAATGTAGCAGAGATTAAGTAAATCTTGAGTGTTTTGGTGGACAAGATTGATAGCTTGCAAGAACAGCAAGATCTGCCAAGAAAGAGGAACGGTAAGGACATTAATAGGCAAGGAATTGTTATTGAGAGAGGGGAACAACAAGCAATCCCAAGAATGTATCAAGAACCCCTCCCTTTTCAAGAACCCCCCTCCTCGGCGTACCCAACCCCAACATGATCCTACACTTGAATTAGCACAAGATGGCCCAGGTATGTTCCAAGATCCTTTTCCCGCCCCATTTCGGTATCCAGAACCTCGTCGGTTGTGCAACGATCCACGCCAGAATCATATGATTAACCGACGACAGGGTGCTCCACCTGATTCATCGAGTGAAGATGATGAATACCCCGAATGGGAAATGAATCGTAGGGGCAACCCACGACATAACCCAAGGTATCGTGAACCTAACGATTACAAAATGAAAGTTGACCTCCCTGTTTTTTATGGTAAACTTGACATTGAAGGTTTTCTTGAGTGGATCAAGAATGTTGAAAGTTTCTTTGGTTATATGAACACCCCATATCATAAAAAAGTCGACCTTTTCGCTTTAAAACTCAAGAGTGGAGCTTCCGCTTGGTGGGAGCAATTGGAGACAAACCGGTGGGAAACAACCCATAAGAACATGGGAGAAAATGAGAAAGTTAATGCGAGCAAGATTTATTCCTATTAACTATGAACAGGTACTTTACAACCAATATCACAATTGTAAACAGGGAAGCCGATCCATTGCCGACTACACTGAGGAATTCCACCGCTTTGGGGCAAGATCAAACTTGGGGGAAACTGACCAATATCAAGTAGCGCGGTTCGTGGGAGGCCTACGGATTGACATCAAGGAACGGCTACAAATTCAACCAATTGGATTCCTAGATGAAGTCATTGCCACAGCTTTAACAATTGAAGAACAAATTGGCAACCGGTTTAAATACCAATATCAACGTCGTGCCACTGATGCAAATGTGGCTGGATTCAAAAAAGGCTCGATAACCATGGATAAACCCGTAAACCAAGGGGTGGCTTCTAGCTCTAAAACGAAGGGGTTTGATGACATTAACGTGGGGGAGCAAGCCAAGAAACCTAACAATACTTATGGCCGACTCACGTTGAGAAAATGTTTTCGATGTGGCAAAGTTGGCCATTTATCAAATGAATGTCCTAAAAAGAAGGGCAATCAACTTCGTGAAAGATGGTGACAATCTTGACCACGTTGCTGATCTAAATGACGAGGAGGATCGCTTAGTTCTTGAACCCGATGAGGGTGATCCCGTTTCGTGTGTTTTAGAACGCATCCTACTCACACCTAAACTGGTTTCCTTTCCTCAACGACACTCCTTGTTTAGAACTCGTTGCACTATCAACGGGAAAGTGTGCAATGTTATCATAGACAGTGGTAGTACCGAAAACATTGTCTCTACTAAGTTAGTAAATGCCCTAAACTTGAAGGTTTCTCCTCATCCAACCTCATACAAAATTAGTTGGATTAAAAGAGGAGAAGCCTAAGTTACTTCTATTTGCACAATTCCCTTATCCATTGGGGGGAACAACTACAAAGATCAAATAATTTGTGATGTTCTAGACATGGACGTATGCCACATACTATTGGGAAGACCTTGGCAGTATGACACCCAAGCAATACATAAAGGCCGTGAGAATACTTCCGAATTTCTGTGGACGGGAAGGACAGTGGTTTTGCTACCCTTGACAGGGGAAAACACTTCAAATACTAAGAAAAAATAACAATTGTTTCACCTAGCTAAAGGGAAACACTTCTCTGTCCAACCAAATGAGCTAATTCTTGGCTTAATCATCCAGGATTTTACCCCTACCAGCAGTAACCAACTGACCAAAATTCCTCCTGAAGTTACTACTCTACTGGAAAATTTTCCAACTATCAACACACTACCAGCCACATTACCACCCCTCCGAAATATTCAGCATCATATTGACCTTATACCGGGTGCCACATTACCTAACTTGCCTCATTATCGCATGAGCCCCGTTGAATATAAAATCCTACATGAGCAACTCGCTGAATTATTAGACAAAGGCTATATTCAACCTAGCTTGAGCCTGTGTGCAGTACCCGCCCTCCTCACTCCAAAAAAGGATGGGTCGTGGCATATGTGTGTGGATAGTCGAGCTATCAATAAAATAACCGTTAAATATCATTTTCCTATTCCTCGTATTAATGACTTATTTGACCAATTAGGGGGAGCATTGATCTTCTCAAAAATAGATTTGCGCAGTGGATATCATTAAATACTTATCCGACCAGGGGACGAATGGAAAACCGCTTTCAAAACCAACGAAGGACTATTTGAGTGGCTCGTCATGCCTTTTGGTTTATCCAACGCCCCTAGCACCTTCATGAGGTTAATGCATCAGGTTCTTCTTCCTTTTCTTAATAAATTTGTCGTGGTTTACTTTGATGATATTTTGATCTATAGTACCTCTAGGGAAGACCATTTACATCACCTTCAACATGTCTTTACTACACTTAGTGACAATAACTTAGTGATAAATTTGAAAAAGTGCAAGTTTTCGTTTCTGAGATATCATTCCTAGAATTTATTATTAGTGGGAAAGGCATTCATATGGACCCTAAGAAAATAAAAGCAATAATGGACTGGCCTCAACCTAAAACGGTAAAGGATATTCAATGCTTTCTAGGACTTGCATCCTTCTATAGAAAATTCATACGCAATTTTAGTTCCCTAGTGGCCCCATTAACCAACTGTCTCAAAAAAGGAAAATTTTCCTCGGGTACGGAACAAACCGGCAGTTTTGAAACTATCCAACAAAAACTTAGTGAAAGTCCTGTCCTTAGGTTACCACACTTCACTCAACCATTTGAAGTTTCAGTAGACGCTTTCGGAGTAGGCAAAGGAGCTGTTTTATCCCAGAACAATCATCCCATCGAATATTAGTGAAAAACTAAGCCCTGCACGCCAAAATTGGAGCACCTACGAACAAGAACTCTACGCGTTAGTCCGCGCTCTTAAGCAATGGGAGCACTATCTATTAAGCAAAGAATTCATACTCTTTACTGATCATTTTTCCCTTAAGTTCCTTCATACTCAAAAAACCGTGAGCCGAATGCATGCTAGGTGGTTGGCTTTCTTTCAACGTTTTGACTTTGTTATAAAACATAAAACCGGGATAACCAATAAGGCCGCCGACGCACGAAGTAGAAAGGGAAGTTTACTAGCAGTCCTACGAGGGGAAATTATAGCCTTCAATACCTTACCTAATTCATATGCCACAGATGTAGACTTTAAAGACGTTTGGCACAAATTCTCTATAAACGATAACTCTGACGATTTTCATCTTCTATAAGGGTATTTATTCAAAGGCAATCAATGTATCCCTCATACATCCCTACGGACAGCCCTTATTCAAGAACTTCATTCGGGAGGGTTAGCAGGCCATTTTGGGCGTGATAAAACTTTCACCTTGGTAGCAAATCGGTTTTTCTGGCCACAGATAAGGAAGGATGTGTTTAGCTTCATTTTTAAATGTTTTATATGTCAAATAAATAAAGGAACAACTCAGAACACCGAACTTTACCCTCCATTGCCCATTCCTCAATCCATTTGGGAAGACCTATCAATGGATTTTATCTTAGGATTACCCAAAACCCAACGTGGATTCGATTTCATCCTAGTTGTTGTAGATCGTTTCAGTAAGATGGCACACTTTTTAGCTTGTAAGAAAACTTCAGATGCTGTTTATGTGGCCAATCTTTTTTTCAGGGGAGTTGTTCGCCTTCACGATATTCCAAAGACTATTGCTTCGGATCGTGATGTCAAGTTCCTTAGTCATTTTCGGCGAACTTTATGGCGCAAGTTCGACACTTCTCTTAAATATAGCACCACTAGCCACCCACAAACGGATGGACAAACAGAAGTAACAAACCGCACTCTAGGCAACCTAATTCGTTGTCTATCAAGCGACCATCCAAAACGGTGGGATCTAGCTCTTGCCCAAGCTGAGTTTGCTTTTAATCATATGCAGAACAGATCGACGGGGAAGTCCCCATTTGAAGTAGTATATACTAAACTCCCTCGCTTAACCGTAGATATTACTAATTTACCATCTTCTATTGATGTTAGTTTGGAGGCGGAGCAAATGGCGGAAAGGATAGCAAAATTGCATCAAGAAGTCCGTGATCATATTGAGGCAGCCAACTCCAAATATAAAGAAGCTGCAGATAGTAAACGAAGACCAGTACACTTCCAAATTGGAGATCTAGTCATGATTTATTTAAGGAAAGGCAGACAACCTACGGGCAAGTATAGCAAACTTAACAAAAAGAAGATTGGTCCCTTTCCAATCCAAGAAAAGTGCGGTGACAACGCCTACAAGATTCAGCTGCCAGCCGAGTACAATATCAACCCAATATTTAATGTAGCAGATATATTCCCATATCAAGTGCTGGACTCCTTCAAGCTAGCTAACTAAGAACTCGAGGACGAGTTTGTTTTTCAAGGGGAGGAAAATCTGATGTAGTTAGAAGTTCTGTTTTAGTTATCTTTAGTTTAGTTGGGTTGGTTAGTTGTTTATTGTTTAGTTGGGTTGGTTAGTTGTTTAGTTAGGTTGTTTAGTTAGGTTGGTTAGTTAGAGCCTTCCTAGCCTCCTTGCTTATAAATAGCAAGCCTTTTCTTTATAAAGGATTATCTTATCATTCTTAATAAAATTCTCCCTTTGGAGTTACACTAACTTGTTTATTGAGCTTAACAAGTATTTGATATTTGATAAACAAGTTCAAACTTGTATTCAATTTGTTCAAGTATCTGATACGTGTCTATCTACTGGGCTTAAGTGTCCAACATGTGTCCCATTAAGTGTTGGAGTGTCAAACATGGATATGTTATCCAAACTGATAAGGATGGTAGTTAACAGTAAGAACTTGTAAAGTTCCATCCAAGATCCCAGATTTTTGTTTTTTTATTATTTTTTTTGGTAAGAAACAATTTCATTGATGGTACGAAATTACAAAAAGAGGGGATCCTTCAAGACCAGTCCAAAATGCCAGATTATTCATAACAAACTTAAAACGACATTCTAAAAATATTTTTCACACTTACTGGATATCTTGAATGCAGAGGCAGATCAATGGCAAAATGAAGCAAATTATTGTTGTGTGATAAGATATTGGGACCAACATCCTTGTGAACCTCAACAACAGAGCGGTTGGAGAGGACAGAAGGCAATTCCAAATTTGTATCTCCAAAAACAGTTACATCACTAAATACTGCCAAAAGAAGAAAAGATAATAATAAGAAAAGAGTTGAACCTATCAAAAAGACAAAGAAAGCAATGGCTTTTGCCTAGGCTAAAGAGTGGACAATTCTGAAAAGAAACCAAGAGATATTAGCTCATGTTTTACCAGCACAATGTAGAAGATGTTCCAATTCAAAAGGGTCAGTAAAAACTCCCGAGGGCAGCTGTTCAATGATAATAATCTTACAATGATGCGTGGGAACTTGAGATATAGATTTTACGATGTTGAACTTGACCATAGATGAAAGTTGACGATGAGAACCTTCACCCTTAATCTTCCACAGAACCGAGAGACTTAACACAGTATTTAGATCACGTGGTAGAACATCACATTTGTTGACAGGAAGCTCTCGAGTCAGGAAATCATCAAGAAGTGAATCAACGAAGCTTTCATATTTTTCATAATAAGATTCCATAATATATCTTCCAACCTGACAAATTTTAGTACAAGAGTAAGAATCGGAATGTGAAGATAGCCTGTTGAGATGAACAAGACTAGTGCCTTCAGAACATTTATGATGCTCTTTTCCACCACTACCAACACATCAAATAATAGCAAACTGTAAAAGTATCAAAAGGAAAATATATTGGAATATATAAGAATGTTATAACTTATAAGGATATTAGTAGTGGAAAATTCGTAATTACCGAGTGTTCCGGTTGGAGGTATAAATAGGGGGAGTTAGGGAGTGTGGAGGACATGGATTCTTTTGGAAAATCAGTCCATAATTGGTGGATTGTGGGAGAGGGATAGCCTTCTCGAATGGGTATTGTTATGTTGTAATTTCTCTTCGATACTGTAATATTTGTTTCTTGTTGTTTTCTTATCATTGGGATCCTAACACAAACTTTTATGTAATTGTAAACCTCAGTTCCATTTACATAAAGAGGAAATTGCACTTTTAATTTTTAATTTCTAATTTTTTTTATTGTCACAATTCATAAACAAAGAGGGTTAATTGCAGAAAAAGCTTGCCCCTAAGAAACAGCCCAGTTGGCAAGGACTTAGGGTCTCTTAGTCATACTGGCTTACAAGTCTCAAGTTTGAACCTTCTGGTGGACTTAATACCAAAACTCTTGATGTCTCCCGGGTCCGAGTTTGAACCTTCTGGTGGGCTTAATACCAAAACTCTTGATGTCTCCCGGGTCCGAGCTTTGGGGGAGGAGGGGGGCGCGGATGCCCCCTGGGTATAAGGGAACAAAGCTCTGACTCCCAGTTAAAAAAAATATGTTGCAGAGAAAGCTCCCAAACTAGGTGATGGCCACTTCGGTTTCCAACCTTTGTTTAGATCATATCTTAGATCTTTTTGCATTGCCAGTTTGCTGCAAAGGGTTGGTCCTTTGTATTCAAGGATTTTGGTTTGATGATGTGCTAGCCCAAAAGGGTGGATGGATGATTGACTTTTTGAAACTCTAGGTGGCTAGACTTCTAAAGGAAAAGGAAGATCATTTTGAATAAGCACTATTAGGGCCCTTATTTGGAATGTTTGGAAAGAAAGAAATCTTAGGATATTTGAATATAAGTCTTCTTCTTTCGGTTCTTTTTGTCTTAATGTGCAGCATGGTGCCTCTTGATGGTGCTAGAACCACACAAAATTCTTTTGTAATTAATTGATGATTATTAACAATTGGACGGACCTTCTTAAGTAGTTCTTTTGGAGGGAGTTCCCTTTACCCGGCCCCTTGGCTGTTTTTTGGTGTTTGTTTAGATGAATTTACTTATCTCAGTTTCCCATAAAATAAAATTAAGAAAATAAAAAGATACAAAGAGGGCCCAAAGTTATCTGGGCCATGAAAGCTTCAGCAATAACAATAAGGTTCTATTCAGTCTGAGACTCTGAAATAGGTTTTTTATTGGTAACAACCACAGAGAAGATAGCTATTTGACAAAAGCATGCAGTTTCATTTTCTATGCAGTTTAACAACAACAATAACATGAACTTTTATGCATGCAATTCTATGCAAATATTACAAGATGCAAAAGCCTTTGGTTACTAAAACTATGCTTTCCTGCAGCAATTAATTATAATTTAAAACTAATAATATTACGTATTGAGGTGTCTTGTTTCCTTAAGAGTGCACGACACTTCATAGATGACTCAATAGTCAATGTAATGATCTCTTCCTTATCTAATGACCAATGACTAATAGCACTCGACCAACTCAATTACCTTCCAGGTATTCTACCTAAACAACATCAACATTGCATAAAAGCACCCCAAGTTTGACAAATGTACTATCAATGAAATAAAATTTTGGTTTCCACATCAATGTTCTTTTTCTTTTTTTCTTTTTTCTTTTTGATATGAAACGAGAATTTCATTGATGATATGAAATATACAAAAGGCCACATAGGCAATTACAAAAACACCTTCCAATTATGGATAAGATCGTTGAGAGTGTAACAATTGAAGGGTGAGTGGAAGCTTTTACACCAACCAAGAGCTAAAACAGTAACTCTATCAAAAAAAAGGATCAAAAGGAAGAGATTTATCGTTAAAGACTCGATTGTTCCTTTCTAGCCATAGACTCCATAGGAAGGCTTTGATGAAGAGGGTCCAAAGTGTTGCACGATGCTTAGTGAAAGGATGACCCACCAAAAGATAATCAAGGAGGATGGAGGGGTTGTTGTGAAATGCTGTCTTCCATCCAAATGAAG